AACAATTTTCTTAAAAGCAGTGGTCAAAAGCTATCCCAAATGAAGGTTTAAATCGCTATAATTAGAGTTGAGTTTTTTTAATATTTTTTGTCGGTTTGATTTATTGGATCGGCTAAAATGATAAGTTTCTAATGACTAAGTGTTGGAATCTAAAAGACTCAATCAAGCTTCAGCTCAAATTTATCGACGCAAATCACTTAAAAAAAATCAAATAAGAGGCAAAAATAAGTTTACTATCGAATCAATTCTTCTTCAAATAGACTAAAATAATAAAATCAATTGAATGCTTTCAATTTTTGAGCTTTTTGAGCTTTATCCATTTAATCACAATCCCTACAATAAATCATTATGCCCTCAATACTCCACTATTTTATAAAGATAGAATTTTGACAGATTATCTTCAAGATTATGAATTTTAATATAGCTAATCTATTCTCACTAGTCTAAATTCTAAACGATCAAAACTTCAATAAACTTAGTTATTTGAAGGTGAGTTATTTTTATAAAAAATTAAAAAAATAAATTATATAGAACACCATAGTCTTTTAATTTATTTATTTATTTCTTTCTATCTTCAGATTGAGCTGTACGCCGTTTCCGGCCATAAAATGACCGGCAAAGAAAGAAATCAGCGCACACGCGTCTCTACCCTCGCTCGATTGGAAGAAAGCCCCCACCTTTTGTACGGGCACGTCTCTCCTTCTTAGCTCGCAACATCCGATACCGATTTCTCTCTCTCTCTCTTGATATCGAAAGCTCCCCTCCTTGGAATCTCTATCGCTGTCTCTGATATGCCCATCCCTTCTCTGAAAAAAGAGGAGAAAAAGATGAGCCTTGCATGCTTTCCCTGTCTGTCGTCGCTTCAAAAATCGTATTTTGAGGCAGCGAACTAGCGAAGGCTTAAAACCAAAGAGTGTTTTTTGTTTGGAGTTTGAACCCTTCGATCACTGGCCAAGGCTTTTAGATTTGAAGAAAGGAAGAAAGTGGAACCGCTTTCCTCTATTTCTACTCGGACTTACTTTGTTCCGTTTCTTTACTGTTGTTTCTTTTGCGGCTTCCTGTTTCAAAAAAGGAGTTCTTTTGGCGTTCTTAGCTTGTTTTAAAATTCTCGGTGAGTTTCAGAAGAGCTTGTGTTTGTTCAAGCTTCAATTTTGTTTCTCTCAAAGAAAGTGAGAAAGGATGGACAAAGATGTTAGAAGAGGGAGATGTTTTGGAGATAATGAAGAGAGAAAACTGGAGTTGAGGCTTGGACCTCCTGGTGAAGACTGGTTAGAAATCAAGGAGGAAAATGAAAAAGACCACATTTTTAACTCAGTTCTCTCTTTAAGTCCCTTCTCCAATGCTTCTAAACCCATGGCCGCTCACCTTTCTGCTGGAACGAAGAGAGGTTTTTTTGAAAGCATTGAACCCAAGGCAGAAGGTGTGCTTCTTATTTTTAACATTTAATCCATTCTTCTTCTTTTTTATGGTTTCTTTTTTTTTTTCTTCTGATTATTTTAAGCATTTTGTATCTTCTTCTTGTTCTTGTTCTCGTGCAATCAGCTTTTCAGCAGCAGGAGCAAGCAGATTTTCTCCATTTACAGAGCAAATCAGAGTTAGAAAAGGAAATATCACAGAGGACAACTTGTGGAACAGATCAAAAGCTATCTCTTGAAGTAAAGAAATCTTGTCTTCCACTACCAAAATCTTCTACTACTTCTGGGACTGTAGCTGTAGCTCATAACAGGCCTCAGATAAGGTAGCCAACTAGCCATCATGGCCCTATTGCCACGTTCACTGTAGCTTTTGTCTCTGTATTGATTAAAAAAGTGAGCTTTTAAATATGGCTGTCTTCTTGTTTTTCTTGCATGTCCACTTTGGGCATGGAGGGTTTAGGATTTCTTATATGGGATTTGTTTGCTTGGATGAAAATTGGGTAAAAATTAAATGCTTGCAAGAACTTTTTTTTATTATGTTTGGTTTAAAGTAAAGGTTCATATGAAGTATAGTTATTTTACTGAATAGCTAATTTCCTTCATATATCTCTTAAGACATCAATCAGGACAATTTTAAATGATTATTCTGTACCTTTTAGAAAATATTATCAAGAACAAATGTTAGATTTCCTAATCTGTACTAATGGCCAGTTTTTTAATTCTATTTTAGTTCTAAAATATGTTAAAAGAATTTCCATTTAAATAAAAAACATGGATAACAAAGTAGCATATTTCATTCAATTAAAAACTTAAATTTTTTTTATTTGCTGAGAAAAATGCAGGGCTGCTTCTACTCCAGTTGTTGGTTGGCCTCCAATTCGGTCTTCTAGAAAAAATCTTGCCAGTTCTTCAAAACAAACGGTTGAATCTGAACCTGGAAGCTCAGAGACGATGCCGAAGCCCGCAACCATTAAGAAAAATTTCTTTGTGAAAATCAACATGGAAGGCATTCCCATTGGAAGAAAAATAGATCTGCTTGCTTATGATTGCTATGAAAAACTCTCTTCAGCTGTAGATGAGTTATTTTGCGATCTTCTTGCAGGTATATGTTGCTCAATCTTCTACAATTGTCGACGATGTAACTTGCGGTTGACTATTTGTTCATTGTTGTTGATATTCGTCTTGTCGGTACACAAAATGAAATATTTCTAACTAAGCTTGAGATGCTGTTGTTGCTACCATAGGTATGGAAAGAAAATTGAGCAATATGATTGTTTGATATAATGCGAAATATTTTAGACAAATTTGTTATAATATGAACCTAAAATGCAAGAAGCTTGTGAAAACTGAGGCTTTGTTGTTTGGTTAAATGTTTCTGTATCCCTCATAACACCGTATGTAATATTAATATTTTGGGTGTTAAATATATAAATAGTATGAAATAAAGTGGTATGTATGTAAATTTTTCAAAATATGGGGGATTTACATACATACCGTTTTATTTCATGCTATTTACATATCTAACACTCAAAACATTAATGCTACATGCCTACCACCCATAGAACAAATTTAGGTGCATGGAATAAAATATTAAAGTTTATAGGCTTGTATGAATGGTAGAAATGAATTATATGAGTGATATATTTGATATTAAAGTTGTATATGAGTGGTAGGCATATAATATTAATATTTTGGGTGTTAGATATATAAATAACATGAAATAAAGTGATATGTATGTAAATTTCTTAAATATTTATAAATGATTTTGGATTGTTTTTCATCTAACTATTTAACTTCATATGACTTTTTTTCTCTATGTTGATAGCTCAAATGGATCCTATTGCTGCAATTAAGGAGAATGTAGAGAAACATCCAATTACAGGCTTACTCGATGGTAGCGGCGAATATACTCTAATCTATGAGGATGATGAAGGTGACAGAATGTTGGCTGGTGATGTTCCATGGGAGTAAGTTCTTCACAACATATTACACTGTTTTGTGGAATTAAAAGATATTTATCTCATAAATTTTCTTAAATTATATGCTATACTCACTTCATGAAAAAACATAAGCTATTAATTTTATATTTTTTGAACAAGTTGATGAGGAACACTATTTCCTTCTTATTTGCATTGACTGATTGAGATTTCACTTGAATAGGAAAACCTTGTTTAGACATAAAGATATCAGTTCTATACAATGTTGATAAATTTTATGATTTATGGTTTTGTTTGTCTCATAACATGAATATTATTTATATTGAGGTTCTAGTACCATCCAAATGCCTTCAAATTTGCACTAGTATGACCCAAATTTGATCGATTTGCTTTGAGATGAGTGCAAGTTAATCATATACTACACTCATCTCAAAGTAAATTCCATGATTCTAAAACCCATTGTGATCTGATTTTGTTCAGGAAATCTTAGAAATAAACTTGCACAAGCTTTTTTCCTTTAAGATGTTAAATTTGAATTTGTTGTTCATAAACAATCTACAAATTTGCTGAATTTCATATGGTTTCTTTTGTTAATCCTATTGCATGCAGAATGTTTGTTTCCACAGCCAAGAGATTGCGAGTACTGAGGAGCTCTGAAGTATCATCAGCGTCATCATCTGTAATTCTACTTCCATTGTTCTTTTGTTATTTATCTCTTTCCAGTTTACTGAATTTTTTTAAAAGATATTGATCTGTAACTCATTTTTCTTTTCAGATGGGAACGGTCAATAGGAAGAAGAAACCAACATGATTTTTTTACTTGAATCATACTGTACAAGCTTTAGCTATGTGGCTTGTTCCTGCTTCAGTTAAGAGATGAGCTTGATTTTTTGTTTAAGTTTTAGCTAGTTTCCTAGAGGTATTCAAGTAAAAATGATTTGGCTTTTTATTATTTGAACTTAGGCTTCATTTGGGACGGCTTTCTTCCTGCTTCTTAAAGCGGCTTTCTAGTTTCTTCTTGCTTCTTAAAGATGCTTTATACTAGAAAGCCGCTTTAAGAAGCAGGAAGAAAGCCGTCCCAAACAAAGCCTTAATTAGGCTTTCATTTTCTTGTTCAGCTATGATTGATCAGAAGGCAATTTGTTGCCAGTAAAGAATTTTATTAACTATTCTTAGTTTTGAAAATTTTGAGCCATGCTTTATCAAACAAATCCTGCTTCTTTCGAGCAAAAAGAACCTTTGTTTCTCTTCATAGGAAATCTGCTATGTGATATGCCTCTTGTTTGTCAAACACCTAAATGTTTATGCAACCGATCCAAGGGATGAATTATTCATCTGTGCGGACACCGGACGATTCTATAGTCCGGTTTTATCTCTGTGAACTACGCTTTTATTGTTCACAGAGACAAAACTAGACGGTTCTTCCCGTTCGGTGCCCGCACTGAATAATTTCTTGAGCCAAGCTGACTTGTAAGTAAGCATTAACTCGATAAATAACTTGTCAGTTGAGCTTATCAAGCTGATCAGTACCGAGAAAAGAAAAGTTGGTAACAGGTGGCTGAATGACAAAGCTTGTTCTTCCTTGCAAGGAATTCACGGTGAGCAAATTGAATGAACAGAGACAATGAAAAGGATTTTGAAGATGAAATAATTTAAGAGAACATGGATGAGTAGTCAAGTCAAACTTTGCCTTGGATACTGAAACTTGAAAATATAAAACTTTACCTGTGATATATGAATGAAGAATTGTATGCGATTAAGGTTTCATTTATCATATTGTTTTTAAATCAACTTCTTAGGCTTCGTTTGGGACGGACTTCTTATTTTTTAAATTAGTTTTTCAGTACATAAATTTTTAATTCAAAAATTTTTTGTATTAGGAAGTTACTTTAAAAGCAATAAGAAAGTTGTCTTGAAGGAAAGTCTTAGTAAATTTTTTTTTTTTAATTTTTTATAAAATTATTTTAACAAGAAAAAATAAGTTATCTCAAATGAAGCTTAAAGAAGGAGAAATAATTTTGTGCGGACACCGGATGATCCGGAGATCAATCAGAACACTCAAGATCACTTGATAAATTGTTGCATTGAGCATCAGTACTGAGTAAAAAAATGATATGACACATTCTGATTAGTTTGGATGAGGTCTGGACTCCGTTTGGGATAATTTTTTTATTAAGTTTTTGAAGTAAATTTTTTAACATAAGAGATGTGGAGGCTGTTACTGAATAAAATAGAATTGAATAAGGTCATGATTGTATTTATTGTTGAAATGAGCTTTTCTTAGAAGAATAAATGCTATTTTGATTTCTTTGAATGGTGAAAGAGGCTGAGCAATGGAGAGTTTGAGGAGACTACGAAAGGAATCAAACAGAGTTAGGCAGCTCACAACTTCTGTCGGCCAAATTTATAGCTTTCTGCCACTTTTAGTCTGAATTGACTGTGTCATTTTCCTTTTTTTGGTCTAACAAAGCTTTAATTGCATTTAATTTAATTTGTTTTACACTAAATAATAAAAGCTAATAATATATATTTTTTTGGCATGAAATTTCATTTTAGTGATTGTCTAATTAGAAAAGGAGTTATAAAGAATAGTCTTTTTCTTTTCATTTGTGTTATTATAAAGAAATTTTAGTGTATTTTTATTTATATTTAAAATTAATATTTCTCATAACTTCCGTCCACTCCCACTCATCCTTCGGAACAATTATTAGGTCCGGACACCGGATGTAGCACTACATCCGGAGGCCAATAACATGTCGTCACGTGCTCTGACACTTTACCGTGCAGCCCGACGACCCGACCCGGACTAGAACCCGGTATTGCTATGTTCGGGTATTACTAGGTATTGCTCGGTATTGTTAAGTATTGCTTGACAATAACTAGAAATACCGCTCTATCAAGATCAATACCGAGCAATATCTAGCAAAATCGGGGTGTTGCTCGGTATTGCTAGGTATTGGTCTTGAAATAATGGTATTTCTCGTTATTGCCGAGCAATATCAATCAATACCCCGGTCTGCACAAATCAGTCAATACATAGCAATCTCGGGTCCGATCTGGGTCGGGTCGTCGGGCCGCGCGGTAAAGAGTAAGAGCAGTTGCACCATTTTACTAGCGTCCGAATGTAGAGCTACGTCAGGCACCGGACATAATAAAAATTCGATCCTTCGAGGCAACCCAAGGCATCTTAAATTACCAAATAAAAACGATCGAATTATTCCTAACTTCATCTAATAATCATCGAGTTATTCTTAAACCTCTTCACCTATAATTTTTCTTTAAGTACATGTTCTCAAATTTTTGAAAAATGGGGCTACAAATATTTTCTTATGCTAATTATGGGCATAACATGGCTGGATTATTTGCATTTTTTTCAGAAAGGGGAAATATTGTTAATTATTTTAAAAAAATATATATTTAATATCAGGCGCCCATTAACGCGGCGACTTAGATTAAGTGTTCGTTAAACAATTCTAACGGCTAGCTGACTCAGCAAATTCTAGTTAGATGCTAGTCATCCGTCAAACGGGCAACTTTGTCTAGTTTTAAAATTTTTTAAGCATGCTTAAACAGTTAATACATTTTTTAATTATGCTTAGTTTACAAATTTTCCCAATTTTTTATTATAAAAAAATTTATTAGATGATATGATTTAGGCTTCCTTTGTAACAACTTCTTACTGCTTTCTAATGTAGCTTTCTACGACAATAATTTTTTGAAATAAAAATTTTTATAGAAAAAAACTACTTTAAAAAAACTGTAACAAATATGTCCCAAACGAATCTATTTATCCTTAATAACTTAGTGACTTAATGTGCTCATAATTTCATAATATTTGCCTCATTTGATAGGCGCTCATTTTCATTATAAATATGTAATATATGAAGTAGATTTGAATGGATCCATTAGTGTTTGTAATTAATTATAAATGAGGCCCTTCCTTAAGAGGAAGGTCTATACATCATAATAGTGTATTACATGGTGGGGGGTAGAATAATCAATATTGATATGTTTGTTTAGTCGGCAAGATCATAGTCGGCGAGCGACAAAGGTCAGAAAGGTTGTAGTCAGGTAACGATGGTCGAAAGAACCGTGGTCGATGGGCGGAGGTCAGAAGGTTCGTAGTTGGCGGGAAACGATGGTCTGAAAGTCCGTAGTTGGCGATGGTGTTGGGAAGGACCGTAATCGGTAGGCTACATAGATCGAGAGGACCATAGCCGACTGACAACGGAGGTCAGAAGGACTGATGTCGGCAGGAGATGAAGGTCATAAGGATCGTAGTCAGCGGGAGACGGAGGTCAAAATTACCGTTATCTGGTAACGAAGGTCTAAAAGGATTTTAATCAACAATGTTGGTCGGAGAGGACATAATTGGTGAAGATCGATGGCCGAGCGGAAGTCTGGCAATGTCTTTGCGATACTTGGTGGTTGGGCGGAAGTCTGAGGATGGTCGGAAAGAACTTCAGCTGTGGTTGGAAGATGGGCGGAAGTCCGACTATGGTCGGCGAACTGTCAGAAGTCCAACGGTCTTCGAGAAGAACTCTGGTGATGGTCGATGAATGAGGCGAAAATCCGACCATGGTTGGGAAGAACTCTGGTGGAGGTTGGCGGACGGACGAAAGTCCAACAATGGTCAGGAAGAACTCCAACGGTGATTGGCGGATGTGTAGAAGTCTGACGGTGGTCGGCGGACTGGCAGAAGTTCGGCGGCCGTCGATGGACTTGCGGAAGTCCGTTGGTGGTCGGGAAGAAGCAATCTCCCAAATTCTTCCCTTCTCCTCCCTCTCGTAAGAAAAGTGGGGACTATTTATAGTTTTTTGAGGGTGACATGACTTGTAAATATATAGAGGATCAATGTCAAAATTAGAGTGATTTGAATGGACGGCCGATATTGATCCCCTTGATCATGGACCATTTAATTGTCATTTGAATGCCTTAATGATATCGAAATTTAGTGATCTTGTACCCTTTATTTGGGCTCATTTGGGCTCGGACGTGGTTGATTTTGGTGTTGATGGGTTACCCTTTCCGAGATGTTCAGTTTGACTATAAGTTTGCTGAAATTAGAGTTTGGATGATTCTTGATTTAATTTCGAAAGCTTTTCCCTCAATTTTGCTTCAAGATTCGTGCCCGATCAAGATAATTTTTTTATGATATATCAACTCTATGTAATATTCTATACTTGAATATTAAAAGAATATGTGGATGATAATTAATTTAGGTAATAACAACCTTAAAAAATATTATTAGAATTTTAAAATTAAAATTCGGCAATTATAAATTTGTACTTATTTATAAAACATGTGATGGCATTTAGGGGTGCAAATGAGCCAAGCTATTTTGCAAGCCGGTTCAAACTCGACTCATTAGCTTGCTAACGAGTCGAGCTTATTGAGTATCGAGCTCGACCAAAATTTCGAACTTTATTGAGCTCGAGTTCAATACTGAGTCCGTCCGACTCGAGTGCTTGACGAACGGCTCGACGCGAACCGAGTGGGCTACAGCCAAACCGGCGGATAAGCCAAACCAAAAATAGAGAAATAAATTTTAATCCATTTTAGGGTTTTTTTTTTTTTCTGGGTCGCGAGGAGTTTTGGCGTGCCGTTCGTGACCTAGGCTTCTCCCCTCTTCGTCGTCTTCCGTTCTTCATGCGATAGGCGACTCGGCGGGTAGAGAGAGAACAGTTTTCCAGTTGACGGTAGTCGGTAGCTAGCTTGGTGCTCCAGTCGTTTGGCAGTCGGGATTTCTTAATTCTGTTGTATGCTCTTATATCTATTCAAAATTTTTTATTTTGTCTTTCTTTCTTCCGTTCTTCATGTGAGGTGACTCTTTATTCAAAATTTTTTTTAATCTTTCTTCAGATCTATAACATCTGTTTAAGAGAACTGATCTTGAAAGTTCAGATCCGAATTCAAAAGAAGAGGTAGCGATTTTATTCAGTTTTTTTGTTATGTGTTTTTTGTTTATTCAGATCTGTTAATCCTGTTTTAGCTGATTGAAAGTATAAAGCTTGCATTTAATGATCTTTTAGAAGGTATTAATAGTAAGTTCATTAGTGGCTCTATATATGGGAAAGCTCGGAGCTGTGAAAATCTTGCATATTGCAGGTTGTAGTTGTTGGCGCCATGATGTTTGACTGCCGCTTTTATGATGCATAAGGTGCATTAGAATTGTTCTTACTTTTTGAAGTGCTTCTTTTTCCATCTTCTTGATAGAAAATTTATAGATTTCGTGCTATTATATATTTAAAAATACATATATTATCATTAGACTGTTTGTATGTTTGTTAATTGTGATTGAACTATTATAGTAGAGTTTATTGTTTATGAAAAATTTTTATTGTTTTTTATTTATGAAAGGATGGGAGCAAGTCTTATTCAGTGTCTACTGCTCCGAGCCTTTTACATATGAGAATATTCATAATTGATCTATCCATCATCCAATATTTTTTTTCATAATTTTGGATTTAATAGTCATTGAGGATGGTGGCTTTTATTATATTTAAATGAAATGCTTTGTGTGTATGCTCATCAACTTTTCAATATTTTTATTATTGATGTCAAATATGATATTCGATCACCTCATATTCCTAGAAATTCAATGTAGATTTGCAAATGAGTAGATGTTTTATTATGTTTTATAGGAATTAAAGTAATCGGTATATTTAGTAAAGGTGTGAATGCAATTATTTTTGGTGTCATTTGTTGCCAATCATGGTTTATCTATAGGATGTATACCTGATATCATAGTATATCAAAAGTTTGATGTTCATTCATTAGCTACTTGCCTACTTTAAAAGTAGGTTAATTATTAATAAATCTTTTTTTTTTTCAATTGATGCTAAAAATAATTATTTTTGAATTATATTGATCCATTATTTGAATTATATCACATGTTTTGGATTTGTGTCTACCTACTATAGATGCTTTACATTTTTTGTAATTGTTCCTACAACCACTTCTTCCTATGGATGTTGCATGTGTATAACTGTATGTTAAATTATGTTAAAAAAACTCAATAAATTCATTATTTGAGTTTCAGATAGACACAACTCTCCATCATACTGTAAAAATTAAGTACATTTGTATTATCTAGATTTTTTTTTCAATCTTTTTTTTGGGTGATCTTTGTTGATTTTAATATGATGAAAATAATTTTGGATTAAATGTTGATATTGAGCCATTTAGTTCTCTCTTCAATCCTTTGGAAGCAAGCAAAGCCAATGGATTTAAACAATGAATCAGTAATAAGACTTTTTACATGTTAATTTGGAAGGTAACGAGTTCTTTATGATACAAGATTGTGAGTCATGATGGGAAATTGACAATTGCCTTCTTCTACAACTTTGTCTAAAGTCTATTTCACATGCTTCTAAGAAGTTTTTTGAAAGAGTCACTAAAGAAGTTTCTTTGTCTTCTTTCGATTTCACATGCTTGTAGTGAAGAAGAGATTTATTGAATTATTTATGGTCTAATCCTTCAACAATTTCTCTTCTACTTGTAGTTATACATGAATTTGTATTAATTATTATTTGTATTTATTTTTTTGTAATTTTTTTTGTATTTAATTTTCCCACTTAAATATGCCAATATATATTTTATTTTTGATTTCATCTGCTTTATATTTTTTACTCGGTCTTTTCCTTCTTAAGCTTCTAATTTATTGAAGTCAAGACATAAGACCATTATTTAATATTGCTATGATTCTCTAATGAATAAATTTACTTTGAAAATTGATCATTTTTAATTATTTTATATTCTACATTGCTATATTATGATCTGTTTATCTCCATTTAGAAATGCAATTTATATACTTGATTATTTTATTTTTTATTTTTATTTTGTGTCAGTATTATATTTTATATTAATATTGCAAATTTAATTTTATGTAAGTTGTTTTCTCAATAATGTCTTTCCTAATGAAAAACATTTTCTCCTATACAACCAAACATTAATGATTATAACTACTTTTAGTGATAATCTTAATAATTCTTTTCATCTTAACAATGATGCTACAATGAAAATATTTATAATATGAATTTTTATTTATAAATTTTTATTCAAATGCATGCACGTGAACTAGTTTATATAATATGAAGAAATTGGTTATGGGTTAAAATTCACAGTTTTATAACCTTGATCTTCTTAAAATTTTTGTTCGTTGAAAAAAAAAGTGGGATTTGGCCAATGATGATGAAATGATGAATTGTTTTCAGGAAAATTATTATACTTGACACAGTTTTTTTCCCCATTTAACCAGTTTAACTGTCTATTAGATTAATTTGGGTGGTTTTATTGCTTTCTGCTGTTTTGCTTTTTGGTTATACTGTCCAGGTTTGCCAGCTAAACTTGTTTTCTTTTAATTGATAATTGTTTTACTTGTTTCTATTTTTTGGGAGTTACATGCATGGATTGAAGAAAATCACTAATTATCTAATTACTATGTGCAGATTTTAATTAGCTGTACTTGTTGATCATTTACATCATACAAGATGGTGAAGTTCACAGCTGACGAGCTTCGAAGAATCATGGATCTTAAACATAATATTAGAAACATGTCTGTTATCGCTCATGTTGATCATGGTATGTCTCCTATCCTATGTTTTTTCTGCTGACAGCAAATATGCCATTTGGTCTTATTCAATAAAAAAAATTTATTAAGTCGCAATGTTCCTTCTGAATCCTGGTTACTCTTTTCAAGTCTAATTACTATTTGGCTGCTTGGCCTGTTGCTTTTAATTGCCTCTATGTTTGTTTAGTTGATTTGATAACCTTCATTATATGAGGATTGTCATTATATTTCTGTAATGTCTCTAATTGCATGCAAAATAATTATTGGAATTTATATGTTTTTTTTTTTGGGTAGTTTTCAATAATTCCTTGAAGTTTAGTTGAATGAATTTTTTTTACTAGCTTTAACACCTTGCCCCATGTTTGTATATGGATTTGGGCTCGAACTTTGTTATATGGATTCAGAGGTTCTTATTTAATTCTTCTTTGGACGTTATTGTCTATAGACGCTTGCTCTAATTTTTTGTATTCGAGTTGGTTTAATATTTTATGGGCCGTGCAGGAAAATCAACTCTAACTGATTCTCTTGTGGCGGCTGCCGGCATCATTGCACAAGAAGTTGCTGGAGAAGTTCGAATGACTGATACCCGCCAAGATGAGGCAGAGAGAGGCATCACTATCAAGTCCACTGGCATCTCCCTTTACTATGAGATGGCAGATGAAGCTCTGAAGAACTTCAAGGGTGAGAGGGTAGGAAATGAATATTTAATCAATCTCATTGACTCTCCTGGGCACGTAGATTTCTCATCAGAGGTTACAGCTGCATTGCGAATCACTGATGGTGCCCTTGTTGTTGTTGATTGTGTGGAGGGAGTGTGTGTCCAGACTGAAACTGTCCTGCGACAAGCCCTTGGAGAAAGAATCAGGCCTGTCTTGACTGTTAATAAGATGGATAGATGTTTTCTTGAGCTTCAGGTAGAAGGAGAGGAAGCTTATCAGACTTTTCAGCGGGTCATTGAAAATGCAAATGTCATAATGGCCACATATGAAGATCCTCTCCTTGGTGATGTCCAAGTCTACCCTGAGAAGGGCACCGTTGCATTCTCTGCTGGGTTGCATGGTTGGGCTTTTACACTAACAAATTTTGCCAAAATGTATGCTTCAAAGTTTGGAGTCGATGAAAGCAAGATGATGGAGAGGCTTTGGGGGGAGAATTTCTTCGATCCTGCTACAAAGAAGTGGACAAGCAAAAATACTGGCTCTCCTAGTTGCAAGCGCGGTTTCGTGCAGTTTTGTTATGAACCGATCAAACAGATTATTAAAACTTGTATGAACGATCAGAAGGACAAACTGTGGCCAATGTTGTCCAAGCTTGGTGTCACAATGAAAACTGAGGAGAAGGACCTTGTTGGAAAGGCACTGATGAAGCGTGTGATGCAGACTTGGTTGCCTGCCAGCAATGCACTTCTTGAGATGATGATCTTTCATCTCCCATCTCCATCCAAGGCCCAGAAGTATCGTGTTGAGAATCTTTACGAGGGCCCGCTTGACGATCAATATGCTAATGCTATCAGAAACTGTGATCCAGAGGGTCCTTTGATGCTTTATGTTTCAAAGATGATTCCTGCATCAGATAAGGGCAGGTTTTTTGCATTCGGCCGTGTTTTCTCAGGCAAGGTTTCTACTGGTTTGAAGGTGAGAATTATGGGACCAAACTATGTACCAGGGCAGAAGAAGGATCTTTATGTAAAGAGCGTCCAGAGAACTGTTATCTGGATGGGTAAGAGGCAGGAATCTGTGGAGGATGTGCCGTGTGGTAACACTGTTGCCATGGTTGGACTTGATCAGTTTATTACCAAGAATGCCACTCTTACTAATGAGAAGGAGGTGGATGCTCATCCTATCCGAGCCATGAAGTTCTCAGTCTCTCCAGTTGTTCGTGTTGCTGTGAGCTGCAAGGTAGCGTCGGACCTCCCCAAGCTCGTGGAAGGATTAAAACGTCTGGCCAAATCTGATCCTATGGTTGTTTGTACCATTGAGGAATCTGGGGAGCATATTGTTGCTGGAGCTGGTGAGCTCCACCTGGAGATCTGCCTGAAAGATTTGCAGGAGGATTTCATGGGAGGAGCAGAGATTGTGGTGTCTGATCCCGTGGTCTCCTTCCGTGAGACTGTTCTTGAGAAATCTTCCAGGACTGTGATGAGCAAGTCTCCAAACAAGCATAACCGCCTTTACATGGAGGCCCGTCCTTTGGAAGATGGACTTGCTGAGGCCATCGATGATGGCCGTATTGGGCCACGTGATGATCCCAAGGTTCGTGCCAAGATTCTATCGGAGGAGTTTGGGTGGGACAAAGATTTGGCCAAGAAGATTTGGTGTTTTGGCCCCGAGACCACCGGGCCAAATATGGTGGTTGACATGTGTAAGGGAGTGCAATATTTAAATGAAATCAAGGACTCCGTTGTTGCTGGATTCCAGTGGGCATCCAAGGAAGGCGCCCTTGCTGAGGAGAACATGCGTGGGATATGCTTCGAAGTATGCGATGTCGTCCTACACGCTGATGCCATTCACAGAGGCGGCGGACAAGTCATCCCTACCGCAAGGAGAGTCATATACGCATCTCAGTTGACAGCGAAACCCAGACTTTTGGAGCCTGTATACCTTGTGGAGATACAGGCTCCCGAGCAGGCACTGGGAGGTATCTATGGTGTTCTCAACCAGAAAAGAGGCCACGTGTTTGAAGAAATGCAGAGGCCCGGCACTCCTCTTTACAACATCAAAGCCTATTTACCTGTCGTCGAATCATTCGGTTTCTCGACTGCTTTGAGGGCGGCCACGTCCGGCCAGGCCTTCCCCCAGTGCGTTTTCGATCATTGGGATGCCATGTCTTCTGATCCACTGGAACCTAATTCTCAAGCTGGCCAACTCGTTGCAGACATTCGCAAGAGGAAGGGTCTCAAAGAGCAGATGACCCCTCTATCTGAATTTGAAGACAAACTTTAAATTATTTTAGAACTCAATATCTGGTTGTCGGCATTCCATTTCCTCAGTTTAAAAGTGTTTTATTTCTGATTTTATATGCAGGAAGAGGGGAGTTTCTGCAGTCAGAGGATGTTTTATTCTGTCAGTTATGTTGTGAACTATGTGTTTGTTGTTGCGCCATTATCTTTGTAGTCGAACTTACATACTTGTTTTTTGTTAAGTTAATTTTGAGCCTTTGATGTTATTTTTGTTGATGGTTATTATGGATGTCTTATATTCTATTTATTTTTGGTTTTAATTGTAGTTAACTAAGCAAAATGGCTAAGCACATCTCAGTAGATAAGATTGGATCTAAATTAATATTTTTGCTTTGAATTGTAGTTAACTAAGCAAAAAAGGCTAATCCTATTGCATGCAGCATGTTTGTTTCCACAGCCAAGAGATTGCGAGTACTCAGAAGCTCTGAAGTATCATCAGCGTCATCATCTGTAAGTCTACTTCCACTGTTCTTTTGTTATTTCTTTTAACGGCATAGTCATTGTCCCTGAACTTCTCAAGCCTTAAATTAATCACTACTTTTAATATGTTGATAATTCCTTGGTTATCTCTCTTTCCAGTTTAATGAATTTTTTAAAAAGATATTGATCTGAAAGAGATGTGGCTTCTTATTATCTGTAACTTAATTAGGCTTTCATTGTCTTGTTCAGCCATGATTGATCACAAGGCATTTTGTTTTGTTGCCAGTCAAGAATTTTATTAACTATTCTCAGTTTTGAAATTTTGATTTTATTGATTATTGAATAGGTGTCGGATGGGTGTGAAAATTTTATGAAGAGGAAACACCATCGAGTCTAGTTTAATTAGATATTTTTTTAGTTGCAAGATGATAGGTACCACTTGAATATTTTTTTACCATGCTGGACCGGCATAACACAAGATTAGTATTATAAGGATTATTTCTTTCATAATTGAAGATGTATAATTAATATCATTATGAATTATATAATATATGTCATGTTGTGACAATAGAATATATATACGTACAATTTTATTTTTAGTTTTTTCACCCTTCAATAAATGTCAATGTCAGATTTCATTCATGATGCACAAAATTTGGCTTTCTAATGACTCAGTTAGGACAGTGGATGCATTGGATGAGATCAATGTTAAGATATATAAAGGTGGATCTAAAAATACTTGATTAGAATTGATCATTTCGTATCAAATTTAAATGAGAATTTAATTCATAATACGACACAATGAAGAAAAATGATTCATATAACAGGCCTCAAGCAGAAAGAATTCAGTATTTTCATTTTATCCATTGACATTTTTGGAGCTGTGGAGATTGTGAACCATTGTTGTTTTGTGTTGCAGTTTAATGAATCCCACCATTGGCTGCCAGAAGAAGTTGGAGATTGATGGAGATAAAAAAACTGTATGTTTTTTCCTTATAAATAAATTTATTCTCTGTAGGTCGTGGGTTTTGTGTTTTAGATGATGCTTCGTGTGATTAATTTATCGTGGCCTTTTGTGTTTTTTTTGCTTTCGTTTTTCTTGAACTATTTTTTGAAGCTAGAACTCTCACGTCCTTTTCTCAGTAGATTTTTTCCTCTGCTGAGAAACACAATTTCTCAGTGGGATAAAGGCTTGATGTTGTTGTTGAGAAACACAATTTCTGCAATTCATTTGAGGGCTCAATAGGGCATTTCATTTCCTTTTTTACTAGGAACAATGTATAGTTGATTATTATAACAGCTAAATCAACAAACAATGTATAGTTGCATCAATACTGGGAGGCGCAAAATTCTAATTCTGTTAAAAAATCTCAAAGAAAAGCAGCAAATTCAACAAATATCTTATTTTATCATAATATCAAGTTATCTTCCCATTGATCTTATCTTTGTTCAATTGCAAGCATAATCATATTATTAAGATACCTCATTATTTTCTTTGTAACTTTTTTTTTTTGTTTATAAATTTATCATAATTTATTGTTTTTACTTATTCAAAAAATATTTTGATTTTTCGTGCTGGTTGATTATTATATAGATTTTTATTATGTTATTTGTTGATTTGATTATTGCTCATTAATGTTAATTTAATAAATTCTTTGAGAAATTTATTCTGAATCACATATACAAGCTTACTAAATTTTTAAAGATTTGATGATTCTCAGAACAAAAGATAAAATTATATTTTCATCATTTAACGTTTGCGTTTGATATCATTTGTGTGATAGTTTAGTTTTAATGCTTGTCATTTTAATTCATGCATGTTGTGCTATGTAAGATTTTAATTTCTTAGAAAAACTTACGCAGTTCTTAAATCAAAATTTAATTTCAATTGCTTTATTGCAGGTAATAATCCTAAAATCTATTTGCATAATTTTTATGATTATTTTACTTAATATAAGATCACATGGGTTGAAACTTTTATCATGTAATATTTTAGCTTTTAGAGATTTACAATTCTTGATGTTGTGTTAGACAAATGAAATCAATGTTTTTTGTCATCTAATGATGCATTTATTTATAATATAATTGGATGGTCTTATAACACCTAATTTTTAATTGGATGTCTTACAACATATACCACATTCTAACTTCGGAGCTTCTTTGTTATTTTGTCAAACTATTATTAAATTGTTGTGCCACAAAATTTTCGGCAGTTTACATATATTTTTCTTAAGTATGCAAAATTTCCGACAGTTTTTCAGCGGTCATGAGATATATGAGTCGCGGGCGTCGTTCGGCTGCCGGAGTGAGGGTGTTGGGCATGAGGCGCGGGCGTCGTTCGGCGGCCAGAGATCAGTTGATGAGAACACGAGGGTGAAGGCGCGGGCAGAAAGAATGAAAGAAATGAGGAAAAGCGAAGAAATGATGAAGAAGGGAGGGGGAGGCCAATTTAGGACCATTTTCGGCAATCTCATTCCGAAAAATTTCACTTAAAGACAGTGGCTAAATCGCCGGTAAAAGTCGCCACCTAAAGAACAGACTGTCGATTTCCTGTAGTGAGCAATACTATCTCTCTATATCTCATGTTTGATTGCTTAATCTTATATTCTTGTAGCATACATTAAGCTTAGGCCTTTCGCAACTCCTTTACTTTCAAGACATGCAATCATTCCTCAACGATAGAGATGTCTAACTGTGGTGATAATAAACATCAATACCGATCAACGGTTATTGTTCGGCGGTGGTTGATCGAGCTATAAAATTCTCTAAGGTTAAGAATTCTCTCCCCTAAAAGTTCTTTATTGAATGTGCAAAAATATTGAGTCTTTATAAAATTTATAGAGGATTATTTTGAATTTTATAAGAAAGTTTTTTAAATTAAGGATAATTAAAGAACATATCAAGCGTTTAAGTATGCTCTAAAAAATTTAAAATTAGACTAAGTTGGCCGTTTAATGGGAGATTTACAACAGAGTGACTTAGTCAAATGTTTGACGTGTCCTGTTGACATGACAAGGCATAAGTCTTATGTTACCCCCTTCAGCTTCTCTCCCTCACTCGACTTAGAGCAGCTTAAGTTAAGAATTTTCAGAGCACTTAAGTATATTGCATCTAAGTTTTTTGTGAACTAGGGCTCTATAATATTATATTACAAAATAAAACAGATATAATTATTCATAACTTCATCTAATAATCATCGAGTTATTCTTAAACCTATTCTCATGTAATTAGCGCCTCTTCGGATCCCACTCACAGACTAAACTCTTCCTCTTCACGTTAATTGATTTCGTGCCTCTTCCAATTCTGCTCCGCTACCGTCCATTTCAAAGAAACGCTAAAAGGAGCGTCTTCGCATTCTTCTCCTGTCGGATTGGAAGTCACGGTGGAAGCCCTGGCTTTGGTGTGAAGAGTTGTGAACGAATCTCTAAAGAAGCTGGGCTTCTTCGCTTGTTCAGTTTTAATGGTTCACCTCTACCTTACCTCCTTTCTCGATCTTTCTGCTTCTCTCTTCGTTTTCTTGGTCTTCCTCCCTTTGCCAAGCTAGGAGGCTGAAAGATAGAGAGATAGGAATCCTCAATCCGCTCCCAATTAGCTTGATTTCTGCTTGTTTCCTGATCACGTCTGCAATGGGGGATTTCTTTATAAAAAACATAACTATAGATAGCTCTTAGTTTGCAGTTCAAATTAAAAGCAGTCTTTAAAAGCAACTATAGTGTTCTGCCATTTTTTTGAAGAGCTGTTGGTTTATCATTTTTATGCAGATCCAGAATTTATTAAGATTATTATGATGAAATCACTGGAAGCAAGCAAGGAAAGGATTTCTGTTCTGTCGAACTTATGTTCTCTTTGGTTCTCTTCGCTTGATCAACGACTAGGGCTAGATTGGTAGAATTTTCCTGATCTTTCTTTGCAGCAAAACCTTAATCATCTTATCCGATTACATATATTTTTAATCTTTTATTGCATATATGTATCACCTAAACTGAATAACAATAAGAAATCACTTATTATTTTTTTTTAATTTCAATTTCTAGTTGCAATGAGGGCTTTCTCCGATGTAAATTCTTCAACACACAGCTCTTTTGATTCTCTCAATCTTCGTGAAATGGGGGCTTTCTCCAACATGGATTCTTCAACAAAGAACTATATTGATTCTCTCTGTCTTGATGATCCGCAATCATTTTTGGCTATTTGACATTGCTTAGAGTGTTTGTGATATACTGGTAATGAATGGTATGCTAAGCTTTATGAGTCGATTATTTAGAGTTTGACATTCCATACTGCTTTGCTGGCTTATTTACCTTAGTAGAGATATTCATAAACAACAACAACATCAAGCCTTTCAATTTAGTCATGACAACTTATACAACTAATTTTGCGATGATAAGCCTACAATCGTCTCCTCCATTAGCCCTCTTCAACTTCTACAATGCTTTCGCCACTCAATCAAGGAAAGTGTCGAACCCTTCAGAAACGGTTCGAATCTCCCTAACATGACCGTTGAAGCTTTTATCTCTTTCCATCCTTCAGAAACGGTATGCATCGGAGACGATACGCATATCTATTAGGTAACTATCGAAGCTTTTATCCCTCATCATCCTATATAATGTCTTAAGCTTTCCTCACCTGTTCTTCGTTCGTGGTTTGCATTTAGTTTTGGGATCTCTACTTTTTCGGCTTCAAAGAATTTATATACACTTTACTATATATATATATATGGATATCTACTCTTTTGGCTTCAAAGTTAGGTAATGAATTTTTTGTCAACTTTTAATTTGAAATTTATTTATTTGTGAAAAATGAAATTTATTTTTGATGTATGCCAAATGCTTGCCCCCTTTTAGATGGATTTCAATACTTATTTAGCCATAATTTAAGTACATCATCCTAGCATAATAAATTCTATTCTCTTTATCAATACTTATTTAGATTAAATTTATCAATAATAATGCAATCATTCTCCTACACTGTTCGTCATTGCAAAATACTTGCATAGGTGATGTGTTTTCTTCATGAGGACTCTCTGAATTTTTAATACTAAATTCATATATATATAGAATTTTGACAATTTAAGCTTCTAAGTCCTAACCAACATATTAGGTGAGATACATACAACTAATATTTAAAATAAAGCAATGCTTTTCAATTCTGAAATTTAAGTTATTTTTAAAATATCAATTTGGCATTTCATATAAAAAGGTATGATATATTAAAAAAACTATGGCCAAATCTTTCAATTTTTTTGGAAATATTATATATATTTGATGTTGGAAACATGCTTGATTTGTTGGATATTTAGAATGTCGACCTCATGTAGTGGTATAAAAGTTTGATGTTGTGTTGGATATTTAGGCTTTGGTTTTAGTAAAAAAATGTTTGAATTAGAAATGTTTGCATTATAAAAGCAATAAAAAAATTTCCCAAACGAAGCCTTGGAGTCTTTGTCTTTCAATATTCGACAGACTACATTTCCAATTTGTTGTGTTAAAGCTTTTACGCTTGTTGTTTTCTAAGTTGCAAACCTACTTGCCTTCCAAATGGTCACCTATCATGTAATGAATTTTAATCAAGAAATGCTATGAGTTATGAAAAGGTTTCATTGGCATCCCCATAATTATGATGTCGCATTTAGAGATGGAATATTCTCCAAGCAATTTGCTCATCTTTCACAAGAATTACAATGATGAATAGAAATGACTAAAATATTCTTTATAAATCTACTAATCGCTTCGTCAAGATATTTCTGCTTGGATTTTGTTTTATGTTAGATAGTGAAAAAGTATGTTGATGTAGAAATAATAAATGGTTGGTCTTTATTAATAAATTGAATTTGCGCTGAAAATTAATTATTTATCTCTGAATAAATATACAAAGCTGTAGCTGATGCAAAATGTTTTATGAAAAAAAAAAAAAAAGAGATTTTAGAACTTCATCACCAAAGTTAAATCTAAGTAAGGGTATAGGATTTTAATAAGAGTTTTTTTCTTAATTTTTAATTACTACATTATTATTAATCTCTCTTAAAATTAACAACTTTATTTGCAACCTTTCATATGCCAAATCATAACATTCTGACATCCAATCGAAGGAATGAGAAACGGCGAGGAGATGTCTCTTCAAGTTTTGGTATAAATTACCACTTCAAATATTTGGCAAACGCCAATTAAAGACTTAATTATTAACTTAAAAATCTTCCTTTCAAGTCCCCCATTTATTTTATCTTGAAATAAACAACTCAACCTTCATCTAATTAAGGAGCTCCCCTTACTATTCTCTCAACCCGTATATATATTTCACTTTCACTCTTTCAAAGAACATATCACAAAAGAAAACAAATGGAGAAAAAATATCGAGAAGGAAGAGTTTTTTTTTTTTTTCTAATGAGATTTCTAATCTTTTTAAAGTTTTATTAAAATGTGAATTTTGCTTATTAATATAGAGATAATATATACAAATATATGATTTTTTTTTTTGGATCCACATCAATGAGAATTTTTTTTTTGGAAAAAAAATTTGACTAAGAAATAATATAGAAATAATACAAGTATATGATTAAAATGACAACTTAGGCTTCGTTTGGGA